GTAACCCATGAACTTGACCCAGACTCTTAGGGCTCTTCAAAGATGGGCAGCCAAAACTCAGCCCACATAAAAGGCTGCTTCTGAAAACATTTTGCTCAATGCAAGAAACAGGGCATCTGCACAGATGGAATAAAACTGGGGACTTGCTTCCTCATTCTGTCTGCAAGAATCTGTAATTTTATTTCTCCATGAGCATTATAACTTGCATCTTCATCTTTTGACAGGCCAGTACCTCCACATAAAAGGACATTAAAGAAAAAAAATAATTATAAATACTTCATGATCAAACTTACTTGTATGCATCATCTAGACATTTGAGCTCCTGAATTTCCCCTATTGCTTCCCAGGAGTCCCCCAATTACTTCCTAAGAATTAACCCCCACCCCCCATTACTTTCTAAGAGTTTCCTGTGCTGCTTCCTGGCAATCCCCACACTGCTGCATAGGACTGCACCTCCCCACAATTCCTGGCTTTCCAGGAAAACCCTAACACTACTTTCTAGGATTTCCTTCAGTTTTGTAGGAATCCCCGTGCCCCTCCAAATCCCTTTGGGTTTCCAGGAATTCTTGTGCTGCTTTCTAGGACCACTATGGATCGCTCCCCCCCCCCCCCGTTTCAGGGAACCTCATTTTCTCTCCACGATCTCTCCCTTTTCTATTTTGTAATTAATATGATTTGCTTGTATAGCACCAGGAAGAGTACAATCATCCCCTTTGCTATTTTTTTCCCTTATGCTATTTAAGACCTCTAGCAAGATGTGGGTCTGTGCTTCAGAAACAGTGTAACGAACGTTCATCAAATCATATAATACTGCAAGGTCATTGCTAATGTGCATTTAAGTCTTTCCAAAATTGACTCTAGTAACTTTCATTGCTGTGAAATAATCACTTCCGTAATTTATTTTAAACACATTGTGCTACCCCACTAGAGATAGGCAAGTATTATATTGGTTCCTTAAGGAAAGATGCTGAAGTCCATTGGCTCATTGATCTTGACATGAAAGACAGTAGAAATCTCAAACACACAAAATTATTTCTTCAAGTTTCATGAAGATGTCAACCAGAACGAAAAAATGAAACAAACCAGAAACACAACCGCCAGGGACAAAGCCCTTAATTCTCTGGTGAAAACGAAAAAGGACTGGAGCTAGTGGTGTATGTAGAAGTTCACGAGAACAGTCGAGTCAATGAACAGACAATCTCATGAGATTTATCTGCTATAAAAGTTTGAAATCCAATTTAAGTCCTGATCTTCTAATGAATGAGAAGTCCCTACCACACACACAAAGTTACATCCACTTCTTCCTAGAACGTTTCCTGAAAATCCAGAACTGCTGGAGGCAGCCTCCTAAAGCTACTGTTAAAAAGTAGGTAATTAAACATCACTTTTTTTCAAGATTATTTCCACAGTAACTTCATCTCTAATACACACGTCTACAAGTCTAGGTGAGAAATGCAGAACTACGTATTCAACCTAAACTGTTACTCCAAAATACCATATTGTTAAAACAGAAAGGAACAGGGTGTTTAACAAACTGTAAAATGTTTTGACTCAAAGTGTTGTACAGCAGATGGAGCTACAAGTATGGTCTATGAATAGCCACCTACACATGAGAACACACACAGATAATAAATATACATAATGCATCCCATCAAGTGATTACCTTAAACAACTTTTCTTTCTACTGCAAAATGACACACAGAAGTTCACTTTTGTGAACAAAAGTTCACAACAAAGCATCTCTCCAAGTTTCACATCAACAAAGACTGAAAACAAATAATGTAATCAGTTTGCAGTGCTCATTCAAATGTCACATAAAAGTTCAAGTTGTTCTTTTGACCAATATCTACTATTATGTTACCTGTGTTCCTGTTAAAAGAAGATAAAAGCAGGACAGGGATGCCTGCCATCTTCACCTGAAGTGTGGGGACTGAGAAAGGACATGTGTTATTTCACCAGTGAGAAAAGTAAAGATCAGTTTGTTTCAAACAAGATTCCTCCTGGAAGATCATGTGTCCATTCATTACCACACTTCCCAACAAAACTGTGACGCTCCTCTCCTTTATCAGAAATAAGTGCACTGCAAGAGTTCCACACATTCCCTTCCACCTCCTCTGCGTTCCTCTCTCCCCAAAACGATCCACCTTGCTGACCAACCGGACTATGCCAACCAGATTCAGAAGTGTTCCAAGTGCAGAATGGCTTTATTTAGCAGAGGAGAAAGTCAGTTTTCCAAATGAAATTTTTCCAGCCTCAGCTCCACAGCAGAGTAGAAACATTAATAAATTTTAGATGAAGCATCTACCTTCCCTTCCCTCCCCTTTCACAGAAATAAAGGACTTGCAGGAATGGGCGATAATGACTAGAAACATTCACTAATTCCCTTTTTTTCCCTACTAGCTATGAGGTGATCAAAAAGAACTATATTAATAGGCCAGCAGAGTTCTTAAGGGTTTTACAATGAAATATGCAAACTCTTAGCAAGTCCGAGACCATCTAACCTGACGTTGAATCACTTGACTTTTCTGTAAGCTGTATGAATCGAAAGCCTCATGCAATTTACACTGGACTGTTGTATACATACTAATATTTTCTCCCCCTCACAATCATATTTTCTCTCCTTTCCATCTGGCTGAAAATCATGGCAAATTGTGCCTAACACACAGGTATAAGACAGGACTGCCAAAAAAATCTAAGAACATTACCTGTTACAATTTTTCAAAATTTAGATACATCATCACAGGAGCATACTATTTTTTAACTCATGCTTTATTAGGAAAAAATCCTTCTTGGTTACATAAATACAGATAATGTGCTCAAGGCATTACCATTTTAGGCACTAACTTGATTTCCAATCATAGGCTGTATGCTCAAGACTAAACAATTCCCCACTTTTAATCATCTTAATAAACAATGAAGTGCTAAAGGTGTAAACTTACATGATGAGTTCTGAGAACAACTACCATGTATGACATTAAAATATGATTAAAGTCAAAATTGAGAAGTGGTATCCATACTTAATATCCTTAAGCAGCAGTGAACAATCCTCTGGCAATACGGGCTATATTATCTCTCATTAACACTGCAAAGCTAAGGCATTGTGAGACTCTCGTGATTCTTGTGTTCTTAAAATCGTTGCCTATTTTTGACTACTCCTTACCATCAGTGATAAGGATCATATCCAAATTTGCAATTTGGCCTTTAGAACTCAGTCACTGAACCCCCAAAGCTGTTGTTTCCCTTCAACAGGAAGATTAACTTTGTTTCTTTCAGAGGAAATTCTACTTCAGCTTGCTTCCCAAGCAGCCACAATGTTTGTATTTACTCAACCAAAGATACAAGTATAAAAATCTTTTTCAGATGTTAATTTAAGCCAGCTGGTGTAAAATGGCTGAATTCTACATTTAAATGATCTACAGTATCGCTCCACCCGGATGAGTTTCTGTTGATAATTCCAAAGACTTTCAGAAGTCTTGTGCAAGTAAAAATCTTCTCTAACTGCACACACTATTTCACATCAGTTCAAATTAATTTCTTGCTACTGCCTTCAAAAAGTTACTACTTAAATAAGCAGCTACATTCAAAACCAGTTGTTTTCAGTTACTCTACCAAAGTTATTAATATTACAAAACAAACAAACAAACAAAAGAACACTAGTTTGGGAATCTTTGGATTAAAATACAGTTTTGTAACTTTGAAATTCAAATGAGGGTTCCGAGAGAGAAGTTCTGTATTAATCTAGGCAGATACATGCTAACATAATGTAATTTTTACTTTGACTATACTCACAGGAAAAGGCCATCATCATCTAATAACCTTTCACCTCATTAAAGAACACAAAAAAAAATGTCTTCATATACATACACAGGTTATGAAGTAACTGACCTAAAACTACTGAACTAAACCAAATGTAAGACAGACTTTCAAGAAGTCAGCCAGATGCTTCTAATGTAACGTATGCACACTCCCACGAGTTACAGGCCAGAACAGCTTTCATCATCGATACTCTCATAATGCTAAAGAATCCAGCAGGCACAAGAATTTCCATTTCAGTGTACATATGGCGAGTGACATAAACATAATAGTACACATAAAATTTATAAAAAGTACAAACAGGTTTTTGGTTTCATTAATAACACAGGAGAGATTTGATCAATATGTTGTACTTTAATCCAAAAGCTAAGATACTGAAGGCCCCATCTGAATGGGCAAGACATTCTTGGCCACCTCCTTCTCCCCAGCCTCACACATATATGTTGAGGGTAGAATTCCAAACATTTAAAGAGCGGTAGCATATCACTTCATGTGGTACCTTCCCACCTTCAACCTGGTAAGGACAGAATAGCTTAAAATTCCAGCAGGACAATATAGCTCCAAGACCTCTGCAGAGTATTTTTAGAGGCTCAAACACAATTCATCTTGTCTCCTTTCAGTTCAGACAGTAGCCCTAAACTAGAATGATTTAGATAGTCCTTAATTTTCAGTTTGTCCTAAGTTTCATAAACAGATTGCTTAAAGAAAAGTCCATGAAAGACAAGCAGGTCTTGCCCAGAACACTGTTTCACAAATGTCCATAAACACAAATAATCTGGAACTGGCACGAGACCAAGAATAGTGTCCATGTTTAGAAAACTAAGAAGGAAAATGCATGACATATGCAAATCAGCCACATGGAAAAGGTTAAATACCTCTTTGACAGACTCAAAACCCTAAGTCATCAATCCCAAACAGCAAGTCACTGTGTCACTGCCACTGTTCGGCATCCAGCACGTACTCTGAAGATCAACATTAAACAGTTTTGTAAAAGAAACATCAAAGAAACCATGTCCTAAGTGCCAAAACCAAAACTTACTGAAGTAAAGCAAATCTGCGTAGCAATACTTTCTGAGAACAGAGTTCCACCAGGAAAATGCTTTTCTTGGGATGAAAATCCTTTCTTAATAAAACATCAAAAAAGCCTTTATCCTTAGATAAAGATCTTCTATTTTCTCATGTCCCTGTCACGTTAGCTGTTCAGCAATGATCTTCCACAATTCCTGTAGGAGTGGAAAAAATAGGTACAAGTATTTTCTCAGATCAGGAGGTTGCAATTACGAAAAAGTTCAACATGCCCACTTGAAGACAAGTTTTAAGACATACCCTATACCTCCATCTGAGGAGGAGATTCTAAATCCATCTATGTAATCTCCTAGAACAACCACCAAATTATCTTTGAGACAGAGCAACAGAATTCATTTCTTCATTCTTGTAGCATGATTTTTAAAAATAAAATATTAGTATCGTTCAAATAATCTGTTTTAAAATAATTTCATTGATCTGCATGACCTTCTGCAGTATTTTGACTGATAATCTTGCTTTTCTTCTTAGCCCGTGTTGAAAAATGCTTTCAATAATGCTAGTAAAAATACAACTGAAAAAAATACTCAGTTTACTGAGGAATCAAGGTCTCACAAACGCATGTCTTACACAAACACACCCCCCCCCTTCTCAATCTGTTGGACACTGAAGATGAAAAACAGACGAATTTATTTCTGTAGAATACATCAGTCTGCTATACAAAAGATTATTAAGCAGACTATCACATACTCTTCACCATTACATCTTGAGTTGTGGCAATGTACTTCATGATAAATAAAAAACTTAGGCGTTTTAAAAATGCATGTATTTCAAAGACCAGTAGCCTTCCGCAAAAAGGCTAGGGAATGAGTTTACACATTTAGGTATAATCCACGTTACATTTATATACTTCTAAAACTTGTTTTAAAGTTTTGCATGCATGATTTATGCCTGAAGGTATCAGCATTAAGTAAAATAAATCAACCTCATGAAGTAACTGTGGCCCCTGTAATCTTACTACACATACATACTGCAGAAGACACAGCAATAGTATGTTGACTATAGGAACATCATTTCTTGGATTTGCAATCCAGTACAATATTTTCAAGTTCTCTAAAAAGATCTGTTAAATTGTGGTGTTCTAGAAGCTAGCAAGCTATTAGCTACCCTGCATAATATTCATAAGAACAGACAATTGGAAAAAAAAAATAGAGAAAGAGAACCATAAGTACTTGGGAAGTAATTAAATAACTACAAATATTACATCTGACATGTTTCTGAATAACAGAAGTTCACAGCTAATCAACTTCTTCATAGATACTAGAATCCTATTTCCTGAACCCTGAACTACGAAAGGCGTTACTAAAACTATGAAATGAAAGCTCTTCTAGAAGCAAATAAATGAGAAGAGATATTGGTCCCATTTTCTAGTCAATCGCAAAAATTGTATTTTTGTAATGGAGGTTGTTTCTTAACCTTTGAGGAAATGAGTGCAATCTAAGCCACTGTACTGCTGGTGATAGAAAAGGGTATGTTATGTCAATCTGGTATAGATTATGTAAGCACAAACAAGAATAATTTTAAAACAACAAAAAGCTAAATGGAAAGAAATGAAAAGGTAATGTTTATTCTCCTATTCTTACTTCATGTTAAGTGAACAGCTGAAAACTAATTTGAGATGATTATCCCAACACATTACATTTATTTTAATAAACGCCACTTACCAACTGCTCAATTCGTTCATAAACGAGAAACTGGCAGAAATCAAGCTTAATGGGCTCCACAGTATATTTCATTTTTCTATCTTGGAGGTTCTCCAAATCATTTAGAGTATTTCTAAAATGACTGTAGGCTTCACATGTAACATCCATATGTCTTAAAGTGAAGTTCAGCCTAGCAAGAGAATATTTCATTTAAAATGTCTGTCCTATACTGGCATCTTAAACAGCTATGTAACTTTCCTCAGCTAATGGAAAACGTTCGTCTTCTCAGTGTAATTAACTAACTTCGATAGCCAAAAAAAAGTAACCACCCCGCTACTCCTGAAAAGCGGACAAGACTTATTTTAGCATCAGTACACAACAACTGTTGGATGAATCCTTCCATTGATTTTAAGGCACTTGCCGCAACAGAATCATTGGCTTGGCTTCCTGGACAAACACTTGGCAACAAATAATATGAACAGCTATTGCTTACATATCTCCAGAGATATAAGCAAAGCCTATTTATGTATTAGTTTGTGAATGGACTGCAACACATGACTACTTAAAAACATTCAATGATTCCTTGAAAGAAAACACAAGAGAAATTGTTATAGAGGTACTCAAGCTGGGAAACATATATACTAATTCTAAGCCCCTTCATTCCACTCTATGACCTCAAAAATATATACCAAATGTTGTCAGCCATTATAGAATACATCAGTCTAGCCACCTATTTATCCTTTTTTACACAGAGGTTATCTCATACGAGACAAAGGTAGGACAAGAAAAGCCGAATTCTTGCAGGAAGTCAAATTCAGAACTGATAAAAATTAAGCACATATAAAAACAAATGCTTGTCCTGAGCATATACTGCAGCCTGTGATCAACTAATACAATGAAAATCAGAAGGCAACCTTCAATCAAATCAGATGTCTCTTCCAAATAAAGAAAGCACGTAAAGTTTTTAGTGCTTTTTATTTTAAGTTCTTGGTAATACTCACCTCTTTTCTAATGCTAGGTAAACTGTGCAAGGATTTCTCAAGTTTTGTGTGATTCTATACAGTGTTCTGAACAAGGCATCTGTCAGGTCATCATCATAGAACACTACAAAAAAAAGATTAAGAGCATAAAATATGTATGTTTAAGTGTATTATTTACTTAAGTCTCAGGTATGAAACAACAACAGACCTTAGTTTGATTATTCTAATCAAACAAGTCACTATTTTAACTAAATCCCAAAGTATATTTTTAATGGCAACAACTGACCCTTTAATAGTATCCACTGCTCTATTTATGTCAGGCTTTCTTTAAGATTTCTCTCATACCAATGGGAATCACTTCTGTCAGACAACTTACAAAACTTTAACAAGATTTCTCTCAGCCTGGAAATATCTTACTGCAAAGCTAAAAAAGACAGAATATTACAATGTACAAGGCCTAATTTCTTACAAAAATACAAAAAAGGCAGTAATTAATATACTATTTTAACCATATCCCCTTGGAAAGCAGTCTTGCAACACCTTTCAATATCGTAACTAAAACCAATCCTCCTTTATTTATAGATCAAAACAATGGTTTTCCTAACTAGATAAGCTAGCCTGTCATTTTTCAGTTTTTCACTTAAGCAAGAAAAAGAGCAGAAAAAAAAGACAGAGATATCCAAAGGCATAGACTCTGTGGGAAAGTGCAGCATCTGAAATGGTTTTCACATTATAGAATATATTAGTCTAACCACCTATATATCATTATTTGCATAGAGGTGATCTGATGCAAGACAAAGGTAGGACAACAAAATTCTTCTGCAAGTCTAATTCATCACTTACTTGTGATTATGTTCTTTGAGTAATTTATTTAGTCACAAATAATTATCACACCAAAAGGAAAGAAAAAGCTAATAGTTTTCAACATCTGTTCTCCTATTGTTAATTCAGAATTGTTTTAAAAAAAAAAATACAGGCAGGAACACTTAAGGCAGAGCTTTGACAAATTAGGTAAGGATCTGACATATTAGATTTTAAAAGCAAACTAGGTATATTTAAATTATTAATCGTAATGCTCAAGTGCTTGATTTAAAAGCTTACTGTTTATATTTTCCTACCATCAGCTGCCATTATCACAGTACAGTGGTCATGCAAATCAGCAATCTCTCCTTCAGACCAGCTATAAGGAGCTTCAGGATCTGTAACAAAGAATATGGCTTTGGTGTACATGATTAAATGTGTCAAATGATTGACAGCTGGAAAAAAGAAACTTCTTAACTCCTGTGGTCATCTGCTACTCTATAAATGGAGCATCCCACTGAAGGTAAATCAAAACCTCCCTCTATTCATTCTCTGAAGTTCCCTGCAACCCTTTGCTTTCTCTGCATTACGTCCAATCTTTCCAAGGCTGACTGACAAGAGTAAGTTTTCTTTGACTTTAGAATTTACAACCAGTTACTACCCTGTAGCAAGATCACAGATTTAACTATATTAAAATAAATACTCCTTTAAATAAAAAACCAAATGAATCTTCGTATAAGTTTTGATTAAGCTTCCTGCTTCATCATGCTTTTTAAAATTTAGACTTTGTTAAAATATAGAAACTTTCTCTGAAAGTCTGAAAAGCATAAAGTCTTTTCAACTGGCAGTATCAAATATTTTCATTAACCAGAATTTTTTGAGGTCCAAGAGAGGCTTTTGAATGTGTAAAGGCTGTTTCCACTTGCTTAAATAGTTGTTCTATTTTTTAGAAGCATTATATCAAATCCAACTGATGATATAAAAAAATCTATAAAGTAGGCTTCATGTAACCTAGGGCTACAGTTTTGTGTTGACCTTGCAATCACTAGAAAGTTTCAGTGATCTGCTTTACTACCATTAATTGCACTTTAAATGTTACTCAAGTTAGTTGCCTTTATTGTGCTAAAAGCAGCAGAACACGTTCCCTTGGCAAATATTTAAAATATAACACGTTCACCGCTACATTTGGAACAAGTATTTATACATCTTCAAATCATCACATATCCTCCCCACCACCTTTTATAGTTTTATATTTATGCAGTCATAAGCCACACAATACCATCACATCAAAATATGGATTACAGTAACTCAAATCCATGTCATTGTGCCTGGATTCCATTATCACCACATAACAGTCATCTTGTTTGCACCTCTGGATTTTGACCTAAGTAAAGGACAGCCATCACTTGTCTATTCTCAACCTATCAGTAAACCCTTCCTTACTCATTCACGTGGCAATGATGCACCCAAAGACAATCGTGTACTTTCAACTATTTTTCCAAAGGCATATGTGCTGGAGGACTTATTTCATAAACAACAGAATAACCTTTTCTTGATGGCTCTGAAGGGAAAAAAACCAAAACACCAAACCCTATCTGAAAGGACCCATTATCACCACCTACCAGTGCAGAATTCATCTTTCAGCCAGTCCAGTTCTTTTACTTTAATTTCCCCTCCTGTGGGTGAAGAAAGACCACATCAATCACAAATGGCATTTCAGACAGTACCTAAACAAAAGTAAGGAGTCAAAATCTGTACTGAAACAAGTGATGAAAATCTATTATAAGGACATAGGAAACAAGTAAAGTTGAACATAAAATCATTTACTGTACAAAACCTGCTACCCACTCACATGAGAACAGGATGAACTTAAGGGTCAGAAAGACAACCTATGTTCTCTTTTACATGTCTCACCTGCAAAATACTTCTCCTTTCCAGAGTTCTACCTCTGTCATTTACACTCTGTTTATGTGACCCTTGGCACCTGGATATCTGTGATCCTCCCAAGTACCTCAGTGAAACTCACACAATGACTGTGTAGGAACTACAGCTGGTCTTAAATGATGACCAGAGAAAGAATAAGTATTTTGTTCTTCTCAAAAGGAAGCTGTGCCATTATGGACCACATATAGGTATCTTGCATCTTTCTTTTTAAATGAGTCACTTTCAACCAAGACAAAAATTTAATTTTACTTGTGAATATGCTAGGTAGTCAATGACTGTGCTGTTTAATCCCAAAGTAGTTCATATATAGGCAGTTGCACAAACACTGACTGTATAGCACTTACTTCCCGGCTCCATCAGGTGTTTGTTTAATGCAACATTTTGCTCACACATGGCCAGAAGATCTTCACCAACATCTGGAAAAAAGTGATAATGATATTCAAAACAAGAATATTTTGCATGGGCTGTGCATGCCCCTGACCTCTCAGACTAATACTCTTAAATTTCTCTGAAGCTGACAAGATTAAGGGAAGTCCAGAGCAACTTTATCCACTGATGATTGCTTCCCTAGCATCCTTCTTGCTTTTGTTTTTCAGTACTAAACTCTGAGCTACCCTTGAAGAAAGAAGTTAGATCCCTATACTCCTTTTAATCTAGACACACTATCTTGAGTTCACAGCAATGTATCTTGCTTTTAAACTCCTGTGCTTAAAAGTAGTACTGCTTTTTCAATCTGTTGAGAAAGTTCTTGTTATTTTTCAATAAACAACACAACTGTATACACATTAATAAAAAATTATTAATTAAAACTGAACCAATGATGATAAAAATGCCAGGATTAAAGCACTGCTTCGTGAAGTTTCATGAAAATACTTAACTGAAAATAACTGCCTTACCTGTGCAATAAACTCTCTTGGCAACTGTTCCCATGATAATGCTTGTCATTCCAGTGCCACCTCCAAGCTCTAGCACCGAGCAACACCTGAATGTATCCCGTTCAAACAGAATGTAATCAGCAAGAAGAAAGGCTGCACGCCAGACCTGTGTGTAAGAGCAGCAGTTAAAACTGAGTAAATTCTGAAGCACAACCCATGAACAGCAAATTACTACAAGGCAGAATACATACTTGTTTACCGACATCTTCTAAGGGGGTTGCCATAGTATGTTCTGTGAAAATGAAAGTAGAGCAGAAATAATTATCTCAAAATGTTCAAATCAAGTTCCATAGTGGCAAATCTGAAAATCAAGTCATGCTTCCCATTCAAATACAGAACTAAACACTCTTCATTCTATATAATAATAATAGATAGTGCCGAGACCCCCACTCTTAATTAAGGAGCACCAAGTTTCCCATGGTATACTACTGCCCAAATCACTTCTGGAGAAATATGGTAAATTTTTAAAATATTTACAATATCACAGTATTATGTTTGTATTATTATCTCCTTTCACTTAACAACTGCTGTTCCATTTCTAAAGAAAACCTATTTTTCTTTTGTTTTACACAAACATATTTATTCTATTTCTCCTTGACTGTAAGCCTACTGTTTACCTATTTTAACAACATCACTGCAAGTGCATTCTTGTTCTTCATCTTCAAAAGCATCTTCTTTCCCTTTCATCAGAATTACAGGATACACTCTATCCCTCAAAAGATCCTCCGCTTCTAAATCGGAGGCACTTCGAGGTCTTCTGACCACTTCTAAATCTCCGTCATCATCTAGCAGAGCTTCTACTCCTTCACTATTCAATGCTCTTTCTTTTTTTAGATTACTCCTGTCCTTGTCACACAGTTCATCTCCACTTCTGTACTGGTGTTCTCCTTCTGTTGTAGCTTCTCTTACATGTTTCTCAGATGCCAAATCTTCTGTGTCCCGAAGAAGTTTGAAATATGACAGGAATACTGTAAAAACACAGAGGGGGGGAAAAAGCTAAACACCAGGTAAGAACAGAATCTATGTGCGACTTCCACATGCATGAAATTTTGCTATGCGTTTCACATATTAAAAACCTAGAAGATAAAAAAAAAAATCATTTTCATCACTTGAAAATTTGAAATATAGTTAAATTTGCTACAAATAAATATTTCTGTTATTAAGTTCTGTCAGTAGAAATAAATGAAGCGCTTTCACAGTCTACTGGCTAACTCAGCATCTACTCAGTCACAACGCACACCTTCATCTGACTTAGTAACACTTATTTTAACAATTGGCAGAAGGGATGGTTTCTTACACGCAAAAGATCTTCCGTTGAGACACGGTCAAACCAAGTTGAAAGAATTAATACAAGTTAGAATTTGTTTCTTTTGGTTAAGATTTAATTCCTATCTTAAAAGAAACGAATATGTTCTAGCAAAAAGCAAGTAGAATTTTTTTTATTGTTTTAAAAGTCTTTAGGAATTCAAGCAACTTCAAGCCTTGAAATCAGCTTAGTATGAGAGAGCAGAAATAAGCTCACAGGAGACAGCTTGCCACAGCCGGACATGCTGACACTTCTTTTTCAAGTCTTCAAACTGAATCTTTGACAAGATTAAATGAGTAAGGCCATTGTTCTCAATAAACCAATTAATTAAAAACCTTTTGCAACGACCATCCAGTGACATCAGCATCTATTAAAAATTTTAAGTTATCCAAACATGGACCTTGCAATTTTAATTATAGGAATCTGTCTTGTCTGAATACAACACAAGAGGAAGAACAAACATTTGTCCTTCCATCTACAGTCGATCTCAGCTGTACAGCAGTGCTTATGCACTATGCTTGACTAAATGGGTCAGTGATGGAACACAGAATCATGGAATTCGATTCACCTACTCTGGCAGGAAATCAGTGTTTGTAGACATCTTAGGCTGGGTACTATTATTCCAAAATCACACAGAATGTGTTGAGACTTGAGAAGAAGATAGCCAAGAATATGACTAGTGAAGAAGGTCAATACCAGCAAGATTCTAAGAAAAATGTCTTAGAATTATGTTCATTCTCACCAAAGGGGAAGAGATAAAGAGCTTGCCACCATTGCTTTCCACAATTTCAGTTTACGGAGTTCTATTCCAGTTTCTTTAGAAAGCAAGATATTCAAAGTTGGTCTGTAACCTGAGAGAAGTCCTTCTCCAGAGAGACCATTTTCAGCTAGATCTAATAAAATCTTCATTGCCTATCCCAGCATGAGAAATTTTTTAAGTCATCTACTGCTTGCCTGACAACCAGATTAAAGTGATTTGATTATTTAACAAATTAGAGGATGCCATCAATGAACGAAATGTTTTTGTTCTCCAAGTCCATTCTGATCCTCTGCATGTTCTATAGCATTTCAAAAGGTGTAAGGTAAAATTGACCCAAAGCAGCAGAGACTAAATCCCCATGAGGTTCCCTAAAAAACAGCAAAGTGGCAGTGGTAGATTGTTGTTGTATTTGTTAGAGTAAAAGCTACCATACTACAATCCAATTCTTGTCTTAATAAATAAAGGAATTTCCCAGACCAAGTACATTCAGAGTAGGTAGCACATACTGTCATTTCATTCTGTTGAAAGGTTCTTTGCATCAAGAAAAATCACAGCAAACAAAAGTTGAACAGCATGAAGACACACCATAGCATTAATTACCTGGTTTTGACCTGATCAGGGTCAAAATTATTATCCACTTCTTTGTCAAGCCTACTTCTATCATTTTTACATTGTCATATGCTAGAACAGCTGCAAAAGTTATTCTTTCTATGTCACAACTGGGTTTGAAAAAACAATTAACACTTCTGTCACAGCAGGAACTGTACTTTTCTACAGAACATTTTATCAGCAGCTTCAAGGTCAGTTTCCTCTACAATTTTACAGAAAAGTACAAGGTGGCAATCAGTCAGAGGCATCTGCCAATTCATTTCCACTACAGCCTTGACTCTTCAAATTATCTAAGTCAGTCAAAACCATTGCTATTCTGAGCAACGCTATTCTGAATTGTTGCCAATTCTTTTAAAACAAAAAAACAAACAAAGCTGTTAGGCTCCTCTGGAATAGATGGTAAATCATCACAAAAAGATTTTATAAAAATTCATTAATTACTGATAATTTTTATTTTAAACTTAAGTTACACTATTTAAAACCGCCGGCTTCTCAACTTTTGTCTGCATGCAAGAAACATCCCAACCTTTTAACATGATTCCCAAAGTGCTCTATTGAGATTATAGACAAATGAACAAATAAATAAATGAAGTTAAACCAGCAAGCAAGTTAATTTGGTTACTTCTCAGAAAGTCATTTCAGATTTCTTTTTTAAGATAGGCTGCCTACAAATTCTACATTAAGAGTTTTAAGTTCTGTAGTTAATTTCATAAAGAGAATCCAGCTAGCCTTCTTCCTAAAGACTGAGTAGGAAGTGATTCTGCTTCTAACTGGAATTAAATATGTAATAATTAATATCAACCATTCAAAGGAGGATTCAGACATTACAAAGATACAAATACACTTAAAATATAGCTCCATCATTCTAAACACACATTACCTGGTTGTCCAACTGCATTCAATCGTACCATAAGGTGCCTTTTGTTTGGACAGTGTAAGTGAACATCAGAAAGTATAGTGTCACTTTTAAATGTGGGGTTATCCATCTCCTTCTCTGTTACATCTACCATGATGTGCTGGTGAGAGGAACATCTATACTACCCAAATAGTCCACTATGAAGTGCTGTCACAAAGTGATATGATACTCTTCTATTAACAGGCATCAAGTAACAGTTTTGCTCAGCAAAATAACCTCATGACATAGTTTCTGAGAAGACCTCAGGCAAGACGTGACCATGCAAGCTCCATCATGCTCCAATAAGCCAGCAAGTTTCACACCAGGATATTCAACCTAAAACCAAACACAGACAGCTTTTAGTGACATCCTGACACTGCTTGGACATTGCTCCAGCAATATTTTAGAAGACAAAAATCAGATTACACTGTCCAGTAAAATTGCAGTGCTCCAATGCTCTCTTTTACAATGCTCCAAAGAATCATCAAATACATAATTGCTAGTAGCTCACTGGCAGACATTGCATATTTTAGGAAGAGCTACTAATTAGCTTGTGTTAAAAACAACCCCCCCTGAAAAAAGACAGATGTTATCATGAACGCACAGACTTACAATGCTAAATCAAGGTCTTCAAAGGAACATAAGGCCTTGTGTGCAAAACTTCACCATTTTAAGGGATCTTATTCTCCATAGGAATCTCTGAATTTTCTCAGAAATGGACATAATTACCGAATGTATTATCATAGGTTAGTCCCCCAAACTTTGTAAAAGGAGTATCTGCCCTTCCTGGAAAAAATTCAGCTCCTTTTATATGTCTGCACTAACTGGGCAGTTAATGTCTCCTGTCTTTGGCACCTTTTATTCTTCTCCAGAAAAAAAATATAAACACCTGAAATCATCCTCATTACCTAATGTCCAAGGCTGAGTTGTCTCTCTGTCCTAAGGCACAAACAAATGAATTACCTCTTATGAACAGAAAAATAAAGAGGACATTTATTTCCCTATGCTCTACGAGACTCGACATCTTGTGAATGGTGTGTGAAACACTGATGAACCATAGATCTGAAAACGAAATTTATGTCTTTAAAAACTGAGATGACAAGCTTAGGTCACACACACACACAAACCACCAAGCATTATACGAATGATTTAGTTAACAAAGACACCCAGGTCTCACCAGCTATGAGCACCCCTAATACATCTTACGTAAAAACTGTTGATGCCATTTCCTACGTTGCCATTAACATCTTGGAAGATTAAGCTGAATTTTCTATTATCTGTTTGTGCTTGAACAAGATCATAAATATATAGGCTTAAAATGCTTCAAGTTATGCAGGTAGCCTTCATAACTTTAGTTATCAAGTTCTATTAACTTCTGCAAAACCTAATCCAGCCTCCAAACCTGCCCTTTGCAGCAGAAATATGTGCACAAGCTACATCCAAACTTGGTGCAAAGCAACAAAACGCAATTTCTCCACCACCTGCGGAGGAGACAAGCCAACGCAGCGCTACCAGGGGAACGCCGGGCGCCGTTCCGCGGTCAGGGCACAGTCCGAAGCCTCGAGTTTCGGCCTGCCCGGCGCAGCGCCCGCAGCCAGAGCCCACTTCTCCCGAGGAGCCACCGCCTCCTGCTCGGG